CCCACCAAATCACTACCAAAGCCATTCTGCCCCATTCAGCACCCCAGGCAGCTCTGGGTTCAGTCCACATGGCAGTGTAGAAAATGGAAGAGAAGATGCAACTCAAACCCAGGAGTTCCCGAAAGAGGACAGCCAGTGCTGTTGCTGAGACACCCTTCTGCTCAATAGGAACCCAAAACAAGGTCCTACCACAGTCAATGAGGCAGATTCCCAGCTGGCAAACTGTACGAGTTACTGTGGCTGAGCATCTGCCCCACTAAATGTCTTTCAACTAACTTGCAAGATTAACTAAACTTCTAGATATAAGTCTTAATCTCCAGGTAGGTTGGCAAGAGGAAGACTTCCATACAGCATCTTACTTCATAACAGCAACAGGGAATGCAGTTACTCCCCTTGTCTGACTGAAACACTGCTTCCCCTACCAACTTTCTCCAGCAGCTGCTGAATAAGCTCAGGGACTGAAGGGGTGCCATAGGGACCAATCAAGTGAGCAGTGTCATCTTCCACCAGACTGTTACCTATCCCCCCAATTCGAATACTTTCAGAAATTCACTTACGAATTCATAACTCATCTTCACTCTAAATACTACCCTGCAATATACGAGAATGGATACAGCAAGCCGGGGGGAAGGAATTGTTCCCATAAGCAGACTGAAGAAAGAAATGAGAAACACAAAGAAAAGGGATTTGTAAGAAGGGCTGGTTTTTAACCTTCCTTGGGGTGAGGGAATAAGCATGGCTACTACTCTAAGCACTTCGATGTTGAAAGCTGTTGTTCTTCCTCTTTGAACTTTTTACCAGATGTAACAATTAAATGATAAATTTATCTTTAGCTCATTAGCTGATGAGTTAATTATATGCTAAAATTAACCTTTGTTAATCTCTTAATAGAACCTCTTTTATCTGAGTAGCCACAGCCTGTGTTAAATTTCTTAATGATCTGGGCTAAAAAAATCAATAGTTTTTATGACTTTCCTCTATGAACTGGGAATTAAATGTATCTTTAAAATGTACTATAATGATAACCTCAAGCTGAAATTGAAATAAAGATATTCCTTGGTGATTTCAAGGACAACACTTTCACCAGTGAAGAGGCCATGTAAGCCACTAAAGAACATTGCCACAGGGGACAGCTCTCCTGCCTGCAGCACAAAGATAAATCAAGCCAAGACTAAGACCAAGATTTTGGTTTTTCAAGCATTCTTCTGCTGCAGCCCTGTATTTCGCATTTATGCTCTTCCCATACATACCCGTGTTCCGTCAGGAGTGACTGTTCTCTTCTTCAAAAGCTGGAGGAGTGGATTCATTTTAAGACCTAATATACCCCTATCAATGATCAAAAGGATCTAATCATTCCCCCATGCAGAGAGCTGATAGATGATGTGCTTTCCCCCATATAATAAATTGCTAGCAGATTTGACAAGAATTCAGCAACCATCCTGTGTTCAGTGTGCATTAAGTTTTTTACATTTGAAAGAGCAAAAATCTTATTATTTGTCAGTTAAATTGTATACACTCAGCAGAAGGCAATTGAATGTCTTTTACTGAATATTACCTTGCATTACTTCTATGTATGAATTGGGAAGATGTATCATTAAACTTACAAATACCCTCAATTTAAAGTGTCAATGATCAATAGTTTAATGCTTTTTCTTTTCTTTGGGTTCCTATTTCAGCTACCCACAGAAAACAAACTTCATGTACCCTCTGGTACCAACTAAGAGACAAAAAACTGAACAATGAAAAGCACCTTTAAAACTGAACTCTAGCTGTACTAATGAGACCTAAAGGCCATTGAAATCCTCATGATTTCAGCAGGGCCTTGGCCAGATTTATTCTCCATAACCTTCACTTATACTGTGAGCAGCCAGACTGTCATCTCCAGGTTTTCTTTCCCTAACACCAGGGAGCGGCTCCTTTTTGAGACATTAGGAATCATGGTTCCCTGATAACATTAAGGTGTGGCTTGCCACAGTGCCTTGCAGACTGTATACCACACCTTAGCCTATGTGGAAGCCCAGAGCTGGGCTAATTTGCAAACCTCACCACCCATATGATGACAATTCATAGATAGAGTAAGCTTATCAGCCCAAAAACTAAGTATTTGTGAGGGGGTGAAATAGAAAGAAAATAAAGGTAATATTTCAGTTTCACAATAAAACAAGTGGAGTAAAACCATTGCCATAAACGGTTTTAAGCATCTTCCAGCTAAAGGAATTCTTTGCACTTGTTTAACAGCATGGCCCTGTTTATGATATTTACATTGCAACAGATTTGTATAGGGTCCATAAATCTAAGGCCTCCCAGACATGCCAGAATGCTGGAGAACAGTCTAAATGGACTGACCTCTGACAACTGGACTTTCTAGTAGAAGGTGTCTCCTTGGGTGCTATAGCCGGGGTAAGTCAATTTGAACAGATAGGGTAAGGCAGGCTGGGAGATGGGAATTATCAGTCAAGATTGCTCTGCCAACAGGCACAGTACATTGTACGATAGCAGGCTGAAGGTTGTGCTATTCCCTGGAGCCAGTTTGATAAATAAGAAGGTTATGGGTATGTGACTGTCAAGCATGAAGAAATTTTTGTTGATGTATTCTCAGAAACTAATTCTTTTTTTTCTTTAATAACCTGCAGGGCTACTCTTCAGCAGGATTACCAGTCAACTCTGATAGCCTAGGCTACAATAAGCTGAATCACACTCCAGTTCCTTAACAAACCCGTTTTGTTACTGGCTTGCTTTAACTGTGCATAGGAAAGTGCAATACAGGCAAAGCAAAACTGAGTCTTTCCAGCTAACTAAAAGAGAGCAGGAGTTAATAGAGAAAGGTTACATCTCTTTAAAGTTGCAAATTGGTAATGGAGCTGTATATCAAAACAACAAGAATACTGTTCATTTTTAAGAAGGTGTAAATTGCTAATCATACTTCAGGCTTTTTTTTTTTTAATACCTTATTGAGAGTTTCTCTCAGTGAAATTTTACACATTAAACACTGCAAAATACAAAATATGGTATACTGACGATGCATAGCATTCGTCAGTCTCACTTCTGAAATGCAGAGATCTCAGCTACCAACTCCTGCCACTTCCACTGAACACTGCAGAAAAGTCGAAATAAAACCTATCCTTCCTATTCCTACAGAATAAAGAATTGTGTTTTACCTCTCATTACACACAAACAGGGACCACAATAACACAAAGGGACTCTATAGAGCAGGACCTGCCTGTAACCACAGTGTTACCCACATAGGCCATTTGCATGCTCTTGTACAAGAAGTCCCATTTTCTTGTAAGGCATTTAAGGGTCTGAGAAGGATACCAGTACACAGATACCAGCAAACCTTATAGTTGGCCCAGAAAATTAAAGCTCTGAATGACAGCCCAGTTTCTCATGTAATACCTCCTGCTTTGTCTGGGTTAACTTGGTTTAATTTGACAAGTACTAATTAGAAATGACCTGTCTGCTCACCAGTGATCAGCTGAAAAAGAAACCTCCACAGACTTCTCTTCCTTGTGTCTTACTGTGAGGCATCAGACAAGGCACTAGCTTTCCTGCAGTGCTGAGCAGCTTGCCTCATTCCTCCTCTCTACAATATCAGGTCCTGCAATTCGCCATTGAAATGATAAGCTGCCTTAGGAAATTTCAGCTCCCCAAAACTCCATCTCACCCAGAGCTCGAATCTGTCGCTCTGTCTTTTTCTTTTATATATCACTTTTTTTAACTACAAGCTCTCCAGCCCCTTGTGCAGCTCCTTTCGATTTCGTTTCTCACCTGCCTGACAAGAGGCAGAAGTAGGAATTAGCATTACTTTCACATCCTCCCCCTCTCCTCACATCTCAGGGCACTCGTGTTTCTCTCTCCATCACACAACCCAGAACCTGACCAGGAGCTGCCTGGACAAGGCCACAGTTTTGCCCTCCAAGGGCCTGATAGCTCGTTGAAAAGCATGCTGAATTTGCCCACAGACTTCAGTGGTCTTTTATCAATCTGATGGCCATAGCACATGGGCAAGCAGCCAGAATGACTGAACAGAGCACACCAAGACCTGGGCACCGGGTACTCAAGAAGTCTGTTGACCACTTAATTTGACCTAGATCCCTCAAACCACCACACTTTTTATAGAGCTGATGCTGGAAACATTCATTTTGCTCTGCATGCCAGTCAGGGCAATGCAAGATGGAACACTAAATCAAGCCACAGAAGTTGATCACCCCCAAAATAAGCCATTTAAAGGATATCAGTTTTCAATCACATTCTTTGGGCAGATGGTAAAACTTCAAAGGCTTGTGGGAATATATATATTCCCACATTCCCTAATATATACTCTGTATGGCCTCAGAAACACAGCACTGGAGTCTTAAAGCATGCGTTAGGGTAAAAGACCAGAAGGGTTGCTTATATGCTTATTTGATTGTGCCTCTTTCAGGGGCTCTAAAATCACCTTCTGCGTCATATGTGGCAAAACACAGGCCCACCCCCGTTCTGCATTGAAGCTGAAGAGGTGGTACCTGAACCTCAGAGGAGTTCCATGCAGACAATGGTCTGTCCACTTGCTTCTCTACCCTGAAACAAAGCCTTCATTCAGCTCACTTAGCTCGACTTCAGACCTGGCCCCTGTCTCTTAGTCCTGCTGCCCCTTTGGCCAGTCTTCTTGCTAGGCTGGGTCATATCATTCTGCAAATTAACTTCATAACAGGATCAGTCACAGAAAAACCTAAATTTAACATTTGAAGCTAAGCAAAGGGGTCCACAGGGACATGGGCAGCTTCTGAGGTTGTGAAGAAAAAGCTCAGGTAACATGGGCAAAAATATTTTCTTTCATGACAGAAATTTGCAATGATGCAGTGACCAAAACAAAAGAAATTAATGGGGTTTTGCTGTGTTGTAAAAGTAGTGGAAATGCAAAATTTCCTGGCTTTGTGTATAGATGAGATGTCAAGATGATTTGAAATACTCTTAGAGGTAAGAGCAAAAAAGGGTGCATAAATAACATGCAACATATGTGGAATGTAAAGAAACCCTGTAATTTGCCTTATTTTTCCACAGAACAGAAATACATAAACATGAACATGCCAGGGATAAGACATGATGCTAAGCTACTGCAGTGATATGTGCTTTAGGTATGTGGGTAGGTGGAATGGATGGATCCAGAATAAATGCATTACACCTTATTTATTACTTGTCTCAATCCATATGTTATTTCCCATTGTCCTTAGCACATTCTTTTGTGTGAATAGTTCAGGTAAAATTCTGAATGTTATGAATGCATAAGCCACAATGAGATTCAGCTAATAGAAAAAGACCAAGCTATCACCCCAAAGCTGCCTCACTTTTTGCTTGCTTTTTTCTCCTAAAAAAAAACAAGCTGATTTTTGTCTTAGTGGACCAAGGAAATCACATCAACCTGTGACTCTTTACCCAATTTTCAAATCTCTTCAATTTTGGCTTCTAAAGGCCAAATGGTCTAGGGTAAGATTATTATTGTCCTGCTTGCTAATAGCCCGTAGGGACCTCTTCTGTATATTTGTACATATGTACCTGTACCTTGACCTGACTTTCTTAGGTGTGAATTTTATGACAGTCAGTATGTGCATAAACACATGCTTTGCCTTCTTGCTCCAATGAAGTGGAGGAAACTGGGCAGATAAGAAAACAGCATACTCTGTCTCCATCAAACAATAAGCAGCGCAGTTTGAACAGTTACACATATATACAGAAACACTAGTATTGCCAGTCACAGTTATGAAACCATCAGCAGTAACCACTGTGGCTCATCCCAGCCACGTCAGGCCTTATGGAGATAACTGTACTACACCAAGTAGATTAAACCCACACACTGATTTGTGTGGTGTTCATGCTGTGTCTGCAAGCACTCCTGAAACAGTGTCTGTCCAGTGACCCATACTGGGCAAGCCATGACCACTTAAGCCTCTACTGCAGAGCAAACATCAGGTCCTGAGTTTCCCATTGCAGCTCCTTCACAGATGAAAAGTAGCCCAGGCACATCTACACATGGCACTTGTATCTCACCTGTGCAATCCAGATAAGGACTTAAATCCAACTTTTTCTACATTGCTGAGGAATGGGTGCTATTCTGCACAGTCAGACGATCCAGCCTTTGCCTTCTTATGAATAATGATCCAACCATTTGGATAACTAACATACGGTGCAGCTCCACAGGATGTTACTTGCTTTGGGACCCAGAATGCCTGTAGCTCAGCATCCTAGACAATGTCAGTTGGTGCCCCTGGGGTATGGACAGCTGAAGGTGTGCGGAGGCTCATCTTTCTGGAAAGAGCACAAGAGCTCTTAGAGCAATCATGAATGTGCAGTTGAAGGCACAGCTCACCACCTGAAGGTAGCTTGGTTGGCTAAATGGTGAATGGAATATTAGTTGCATATTTATGGTCCTTATGATTACGGAGGCCTTGTCATCATCCTCTTTTGGAATGTGATTCAAATTAGCAAGTGTGATCAAATTAACCTGAGGCAAAGTGGTCAACTGCAGAAGAATTGCAAATTCTTCTGAATTAATTTGCAGAAGAACTGCAAATTAATCAAGCAAAGTGGTCAACTGCAGAAGAAAGCCTCCCAAATTGCTATAATCACTGCTTTGGCTAAAATCACTGCAATTAAGTAAGACAATTTCTTTACTATAGCCCCTAAGTTACAAAGCCAATAGGCAGTTGGAAAATTTTGTCCTGGTTACATGGTTGCCAGATTTTTTAATGACTATATGCCAGATTAAATCAAATAACTCTGCTGTTTTAGCCAGGGTTAGAAAAGGCTTTTGGCTATGCTTTAACTGGTTTTTCTTCATGAAAGGAAGAAGGATTCAGACAAAAAGAAATTAAGACATAGAGGCTTTAAAGGTAGCTAAGGCTCAGCAGAAGCTTCTGCTACTGTGTCACTATCCCTGTGCTTTGTAGCAAGTTGTTTTGTGTTGCTCATCCTGCTTGCCTAGGCCAGTGAAAGCCTTTGCTCTGTCTGTCAAGAGTAATCCTAATATTGGGAGACTCCAGGCAAAGGATTGAACGTGGCCTGGCATTCCCTGTGGCTGTTTGTTTGATGCTGATTTCACAGCCATTGAATGAGCCCTTAACCTCATCACTTGCAGCTCTTTTTTGGCAGCATGTCAGGTAACAAAATTGGCCTTGAGAAATGCCAGACTTTGCCAGCTCCTCTTCAACAGAAGATCCTGTTGTTTTGTCAGCAGTTATTCAGCCCTTGATATTCCCAGGTTAGTTTCACTAAGCTCAGAACAGAAGCAGAAACATTGTCCCACACTGCATTTCACTTGTGCTAAACTACTCTCAAAATTGCTAGGGTAAGAGCCTACCTCAGCTGTAGGAGTTTAAATATAACTCCACTAATTCTCAAAACACGTATTTTGTACCATAGAAGAATCTACATAAATAACTTGCTTGCTATTTTGGACTACGATAATACCAATAGGTGGAGTTGGTTAAGTCAGGCAAGGAAAGGAATAGAGACTAGCTCTAACCCACAAAAATTGGAAAAAAGGTATTTCTAGGCAGATCCACAGTGGAGGGGGAAATGGCAACCGTTGTTGCTTGAAAAGAACTTCCACCTGCTTTTGTATTAATACTGTCTTTTTTAATCAATAATCAAAGTAGTTCATATGTCTGTTAACTGGCTGCCTTAATGCCCAAGTCTTTTCCATAACAAAATCCCTAATGTACTTAGTACCCATCAGCTTCAGGTCAATGTTTCTGACCCAGCAGGCTCCAAGACAGCTTCAAATTTTAACCCTCAGTAACTTACAGCAAATTAAGATGGATTTTCTCTTCTGTTGCTTAAATTCTGGGAGGAAGCAATACGTTTGAAGTACCTGCTGGTGAGACCAAATTCCATGAATATGCTTTTTTTCTCACAGTTCATGTGTTCATCAATATCATCTCCACTTCTTTCCCATTTAGTTTAATATCTATATATGTATACAGATACATATATCTTAGCTGGGGGAGGGCAAGGCAGAGTAAATTGTCTCTGGTTTCTCTTGAAACTCTGCAGAGTGCTGTTCTGATCAAAAGTCCTTAATTATTACTAAGCTTCCTTCAGGTATATGTTATGCTGACAATCCACCTTCCCATTGATTGTTATATATACTAAGACCAATAAATCCATGTGCTGTAGCTTTCAGGGTGGAGGGGTTTTTTGTGTTACTCAGCAAAATGTAACATGATCAGCATGTGAAAAATCACCATCTTGATGATTTTACCAACCTGTCTCTGAGACCACCCCAAAAGAAAGGAAGATGATGGTTTTAGATAGGAAAGACCTGCTGTGACCAGGTTTCTGACCATATACTGGTGTCTAGTAGAATCTGCAAACCAAGATGGCTGTGATGGGTTTACCTCCTGTCTCTGACACAAGGGCACTCTGCTTCCAGTGGTACCAGTTGTCAAACAATGTGGCAAGATGAAAATCCTGACCCTTGGCACTCTTCAATGAGAAAACTGGAAGAGTGGGTGCCCCCGGTGATGGTCTGTCACAGGCGCACATACTGGCTCTTTTATTCCTTCAACATCTGCAGGGGTGCCGCCTGCATCTGTGGACAGCTACAGCTCAAAAGCAAGGTTTCTTCATTGTTAGACATCCTTTAACAGCAACCCTGGGGGTGGAACAGACAGGGGCAAGGATGAGAAAACCCCAAAGCTGATGCCAGTGTGGTGCTGACTTCTACACACCCTGAGCAGCCCTAAAACTGCATAAGGGCAGGGCAAGAACCCCATAAAACTCATGTGGAGACAGATGCCTTCATCCCGTGACTGAACACTGGGCTCCACAGCTGCATCCTGCTTGCACATAACCCAGGGAAGAGTCAGAGTTGGATCTCCTCAATACTGAACCTTTGAGCAGTGCAAATGGTAGAAGGCTGCTGAATATTTAGATATTGAAGCCCCCCCCCCCCCCCCCCAGCCTTCCAACCCACTAGGAGTAAACATGCAGGGTTTTACAATGTGCAGCTCTTGATTCACAAGCTGGATATGGGGTCAGGGCTACGGGGACTCAGTGGGGCTACTGCAATGTGATAACGTACAGCAGCATGTAAAGGTCACTGCCATTCTACAGTGAAATCAATACACTCCCTCAAAAACCTATTAGGCAAAATATAGACTATGACAGAAAGTTTAGAAGACTACAATAGAGCACCCACCTCTGTGCCTTAGATCTGAAGCACAGCAACGCAAGCGGGAGAGCCTTTTGCAGAGAGCAATCTCCATTTACACTATAAGCACAATTTCTCTCTCACTGACTGGAAGCTCAAGAATTAGCTGGAGCATCTCCTGGGTGTTTGTGAATCAGCCTGAAACCAAAAGTGAGAATAAACTTGGGCAACTCAAAGGGAAAATACAGGAAGCAAAAGGACATGGAAAGCTTCCCGAGTCAGCTCAGGCAGCCGAAGTCACGTTACAGCTTGCCAAATCAATGCATCTTCCAAGCACATTCACGTGTGCAAGATTCGTCTCATTTATGTTACTTTGTCACAATGGCTTTCACTGAGCCCTTTTCAGCCCTGCAGCCCCTTCAGACATATTTGCCAAAGACAATAAGATAGCAAAATGTGAATGAGTTTAGCCCTGTAGCCGTACGTCATTACACAGATGTGAAGAAAAGACAAGTACAAGATGTTTTTAGAAGAAAACTGAAGTGAAAAAGGTAAATGTGTTGTGACCTCAGATCAGATGCCACTACTCTGTGAAGTAATCTTTACTGAATTCTGCTTTCTGGCTTCCCAATTCCTGCTTTGCTAAAAGTTGTACATGGCTCACCACTCCTTCCAGGCTTGATGCAGCCCTTCCTCTCCGGTCCTGCATGCTCCCATCACTGCAGAGTGCGCATCCACTCCCGTGGGCTGTATCCTTGTCTGCAAGCATCACTGAGAAACGGGGACTAAACAACAGCAACACAGATTTCCTCCTGACAAGAAATTATTTGGTTTTCCTATTGCACTCTTTGCATTAAGCTGCTTCCTGGAATTTCAGACTTAAAACCACCATTATAAATCATCAAATACCTTTTGTATTAGTACAATGAAATAACATAACCACCTTTTGCCCACATGCAGGGAGGAACTCCAGTATCAGTACTGGAAAGGAAGCAAGCTGAGACATCACAAAGGAAATCACCTACCTCTGGAGCTGCCATTGATACTGCACAGCACCTTAAATGTAGCTCTACCAGAAAATTCCTCTGACTTTTGCTAATCGCCAGCACAAAGCTGGCACAGAGTATCATCATTATTTAATGAGTGTAAAATAATGGTCCGTTATAGGCACGCTTAAGCGTTGCAAACCATCAGGAAAGACTGGAATTTTGACAATATGCTGGAGGTAAGCGGTTATGAAGCACCTGAGGGCATTTTATTCCACAGGGAGTCTGAAAGTCAGGAAAAAATACAAACAAGCATCTCCTTCCATAACACAGTTTAGGTATGGTCTGCAAAGGGCACATGCATTTCAGTTCTAGCTGAGATTCATATTAAAATGGCCCCCCAGAGGTATTCTGCTTTGTTTCTATCTTCTTGGGTTTTTGTAGTGGATCATATTCCTCTTCACTGAACAGGAGGCAAAAGAAGGCATCGAACTTCCCTGCAGGTGAGGACACTTCACCACATTAATGGTTAGGTTAACTCTGCTGTAATTCCTCCAGACTCTGTTTGAGAGGGAGGTGATCCTTTTGGAAATAACACCATCTTTGCTATAGCTGCGGTATTTCTGCGGATGGTACTATTCCCACCTTGGTCACACGAGGCACTCCAGGTACTTTCAATACCTTTGAATCTGTAGATACTTGTTGCTAGGGAATGTGCTCTGGGAGGCACCGGTACAGAAAGCAGCCTACAAGCTCAGTGCAGCACAGGCATCCCACAGAGCATCCCAGGACTGTATTGCCCATGCATGGCACCAGGTTTAAGCAGCAGACAGAGACATTGGAGTCCAGGGTTTTAAAGCAGTAGTTTCCTGGATAAATTGGAGATTGCAGATAGTATTCTGCTTAAATTGTGGATCAGCTCTAAAAAGGAGCATCGTAAACCAGGACAGTGAAGCCCCATGTTTATTGAGTCTCAGTGGTTTACAAATAAAGTAGAATCTATTTATAAGCTTTTTAAAATCACCCTCCTGTAGCCACTGCAAACCTGCAAGCTTAGAACCTGCAAATCAGGCTGAGGTCCTCCTGCCTTGTGCTTCAGCATCCATAGTAAAACTTAATGGTCCAGTTGTTGCCTTTCCCTCTACCTGCATGCTGTTTAAGCCAGCCACACAAATACGGGAGGCATAACTAAGGACCTCCACTAGATTTGCAATGGAAACTTATTTTGTATTCATACTAACAATACCCTGATTACCAGAATAAAACCCTCAGATAGTTGTATTGGTTCTGTAGCAGGAATAAATAATATTAAAACCTTATCTCTGCCCTTAAAGAAAGCAAATAGGACTGGAATACAGGAAATGGGTCTATGGAGTAAGTAAGCGCTGCTTTGATCTACTGCTTTTAGGAACACAACACACGTTAAATTCAGCTCCTAAGTGGAAGAGGGTCAGCAAGCAGAATTTCCACAATAAAAGCTCTGTGGTTGCAGGTGTTCAGGCATATACATCATCTCCTTCCCTGAAGATGAATACCAGGATTTGCGATCAACTTAACACAAAGGATTGTACCGCTCACAGCAGGATTTATTTACATGATATCCCCAGAGAAAGATGCTCTCTCCCTCCCTCTCCCTCTCTGAAATATGGCCAGCAATATAGTACCTGAACACTCTTGCCATTTGATCTCACTTTCAGTAGCATGTGTTATTTCCAGGATAGAGGAGGATATTCTCCCACTTATACACAGTATTGCTTGGCTAGGATATTTTTGCCTCTGCCTTTCTCCTGATGTGAGAAAAACCAAGGTCAAGTTCCTGCATCCTGAGTCTTGACATTTAGCATTCTTGTGATCTGCCTAGTGAGTGCAAGGATTTACTTCAGACTTTCCACTTGAAATCCCACCCTGGATCTGAGAACACATTTGCAAAAAGTTTGGTTCCAGCATTTCCTGAATTAAATATATTTTGGGGTTTTTTTTAATCAAATTGAAGTTACTCTTTATCCCACCTTTAATGCAGCTAAAAGAGGCCAAAGTCTCATCTCCAGGTACAGCCATATTTTACTATCCCTTTCTCCTTCCAGTTCAGTATATCCTTGGTCTCTAAGACAGCTTCACAAATGAAAAACATGCAAGCAAAACTCATACTATTTCAACTTGGTGGCCTGTCTGGTGTCCCAGCACATCCTCACAGCTTGCAAGCGCAGGAAGCCAGCTTCTGCTCACCCCATATCTCTTCAAAGATCTCCTCCACACAGGAGCTCCAGGATTTCAGGATGGAGCTAGAGGCTTCTGTTCTATTACCCTGGCTCTGCTGTGTCCCGAGTGCTGTCTGCCCAAAAGCAAACCCTATGGCTGAGCAAACTGTCTGGTTATAGTCCCAC